CAAGTCTACAAAATGCTAAAGGCCCTCATCTTTTTCCTCTGCCATAAAATAATGGGACATGAAAACCATACCATTGTTTACAGGATCTATTTTTTTGATGGCTCCTTTCTGAAGGAATGAAGTGGCCTGCTCCTTCAGAGGAAGAGTAGGATCATATCCTTTGGAAGACTAGAGCGAAATGGAATTCAGTCCTGTACCTGTATTGCACAATGGCAAAAACCCAGTAGCACTGCAGGGCCATGCCTCACAATACTGGCTTGATTTTGCCTAATCAATGGGTTGTCTCTGTGGTATCTATACTTGCTGAATCCCTGGATCTAAGTTTGTGCCTTACTCAGCCAAAATGTTTGCATCTACTGGGTGCTGCAACATCTCTTAAATAAAAACTGGCTTAATTCAGCTAATCGTTGGTTGTGCAATGCAGCTAATGCTTCTCTCAAATATATATATTTAGCAGTGTTCTGTGGCAGCTTCTTTTTGAGAGGAGGTTGTTATATGGATACATTTTGAACTGGAGCTATCTTTAATATTTATTGAGGTATATACTTGCTTCTTGGAAATTAAAAAATGGTCTAAATTGATATTTTGTATTCTTTTGGCAGCTAGAAGAACAATATTACAGCATTGGAAGGAAAAACAGTCACTTCCTAGAATACAGTGCATAGAGGACCTGACAAAACTTTCAGCATTTGGACAGGTGCCATATAGCCATCACCTTCAAATGCATATTTACTTGGAATCTGGTCTGCTTTTGTTGAAGCTTATGTACATTACTAGAAAGTTGTATTTATACACATACACATTTCATATGTATTTTTGTTATGGATATATACAAATCTCTATTCATATGATTTCTCTGTGTCTTTTTTTTCTATTGTTTTATAAGTTTGGATTTTGGTTGACTTTCACTTGGATTTTGGTGAAAAAATGGACAACTTTTGATACTTAAATGGGTATCAAAAGTCAATGAGTTCATTCATTCAGGACATGATGTGTCAAAGGTGCTGCTCCTATGCATTTATTCTATGTATATCTTGCTTTCAATATGATTGTTGACAAAGGAAGGGGTGCTTAGATTCCTGTCTTCCAAAAAGAACAATGGATGGGTAAACCAATTGATTTTGGGACCTGTTTCAGGGTCAATGGCCTGAACTGTAAGGTTGCTGCAGTGTGCCCACACCCAGCTTTTTGGCTGAGAACTCAAACTTAGAGGCTTGACTGAAGGTGGCATCCCTTGTTGAATCAAATCGACCTTGTTCATCAAAGGGAATATAGTCCATGGGGAACTAAGTCTTTCTGGTGAATCCTGTAGAGAGCACTGGTTCCTACCATGACTTAGTTCTACAATCTATTTTAGATTTTGGCATGTTAGGTTGTTGTTTTGTGAAAGCCACAGGTTCATTCTTAAAGAGGCATGCTGTTTCTGTCTTGTCTTCAGGCAGGTATTTGAACGGAGAGGTGGTAAGAACTGCCAATGGACTGTACAGCCTTTGTAATTCTTGATGCAGAATCCCAGTACAGCAATGGAAAAACTTCTTTGTCTTTTCATGTCCAGTTTGCATTCTTGTTTGGTTAGCACAGAATACGGTTTCAAGTGGTTTTGTTGTTGCTGGACTTAATGAAAGAGATGGGAACAATCATTGTGATGGTTGCAGTATAGATTCTCCACAGTATAGATTCTGCAGTATAGATTCTTTAGATGCAAGTGGAACACAGGAAGGCTTTTTTCAGGACTCTCTTGCCATCCTGAAAAAAGATAGCTACTGTAATAGGTTCCACGGTTTACAACTGGCCAAAGTTCATTAACAAGTCAACAACTGGGCATTTAATCCTAAGGAACTCACTGGACATTTAATCCTAAGGAAGTTGCCATATGCCTTATTTGTTCAGCATAGGGGTGATTATCCTTTTTAGGTTACTGTGAAGAATGACCCTTAAGTCCTTGATCTGGAGGGAGAGACTGAATCAGATGAATCACCTATCCATCACCTTCCAACTCTATTGGCACTGGTGGGTCTAGTGGTTCTTTTTTTGCTTGTGGGGGGAGGTAGCAGTGCAGCACAAGGGTGATGATACAGGAATGCAAGAGACTGACTCAGATGAATCCAGTTGATAGTTGTCTTCCTTCTCTATCTGTATTGGCAGGTCCAAAGGTTTTTCTGAGGTAGGAGTGCAAGGTGTGTGGGGTGCTACCAGAATAGTCATGATTCCAGTGACAGGGACTGGTGTCCATAGTATCGGGACTGTTGGGAGCACTGTAGTGGGGATAGCTAGTGGTTGTGGTATCTTCACTACAGTTTCCAGCACTGGAGGTTTGAATAGAGATGTTAAGATGGAGCGAGAAAAAAGCTGTAAAGAAGGAAGCCTTGATACAGGCAAGCTTCTTCAACTAAAGGAGGGGACAATGCAAAGTATCGCAGGTATTACTTGATGACCTTCTATCCCAAAGGTGGACTAGAGAGCAGGAGTATTGGCTGTTCATACCAGGATGAACAAAAGTAAACCCAGTTAGAACATCTTTAGGTAGGAGACAGATAAACCCCTCCTGGACCCTGCTGCACAGCTGCACTGGGGAGACAGTGCACAGGGCTATGAGGCAGCTGTCCAAGAGTGACATGGGGGAGAGGGGGTGTCTTCTTTTCCTTCTGAAGAGGAGCCAACAGTACGGCCCTCATTCAGGGAAACTGGGGAGACCCATGGTAGATTCTGCATCAGTGGGGATCATAGCATAGAGGGTCCCTTCTGGGAAATGACCACATTGTCCTAAAACATTGGAGAGGACATGGTGTTGCTAACAGCCTCATCTTGGTTTGTTGGCCTAGACATCTTTTTCTTTTAAGGTTTGATCTCTGCATCAGTGCTTGGGGCATCTTAGACTTGATTCATTTTGGGGATGGAGCAATCCAGTGTGGAATGGTCCCTGACCCTTGCTGGAGTTGTGGTGGTAGAGGGAACAGGTGGTGAGGGTGAAGCCAGGATGGTACAGAGCCTGGTGATGACCCAGAGTTATTAAGGGAGACTACTTTGAATGCTCGACCCTGACTGCTCTTTAGAAGGCCAGATGCTGAAGATGAAACTCAAGTACTATGGCCACCTAATGAGAAGGAAGGACTCCCTGGAGAGAAGCCTAATGCTGGGAGCAAAAGATGGCAAAAGAAGAAGGGGACGGCAGAGGATGAGGTGGCTGGACGGAGTCACTGAAGCTGTTGGTGTGAGCTTAAGTGGACTCCGGGGGATGGTGGAGGACAGGAAGGCCTGGAGGAATGTTGTCCATGGGGGGTTGTGAAGGGTCGGACACGACTTTGAGACTAACAACACCAACACTTTGAATGCAATCTGAGTGTTTCACTGGGTCTACCAGCTGTGGTGTACATGCCCACAGCACTACACTAAGGTGGAAACAGTGGCTACATTAAGTTCTTGGCAGTATGTACATAACTCTGTAGCATGCTCTTTGTCCAAGCAGCACAGATAATAACTGCAGCTGTTTGCTGGCATCCCTCACTCTTTATGTTTACAGAAAGACACCCAAAGGGCCACAAGCAAAAGAAGGTGCCTGTAAAGGAAGTACCATGTGAAAAGAAAGAAAATGCAAAACTGTTTGAAGGAGTGAAAAAACAAAAGAGAACCCACTTAATCTCTAGGGAAAAAACTAACTTAGCAGACAGAAGGTCTCAACAATGGTGTGGCTGTCAAAGAGAACTGAAGGAAAAGCCAAGAGCACCACTGTTTGGGCATGCATGGTGGGGGTGGGGGAAGAGCAGGCTTCCTACTTAAATGTCTTCATGCAGTGAAGATTCTGTGCATGTACAGCACCCACAGGTCTAATGCACAGACACCACAAAGATACAGCATTTGTCTGAAAGATCTAGTGCTTATCTATTAGTGGATGGGCCCAAAAAGGTCAACTGTCAGATCAGAATGCTAAGAGGGAGCTACAACTGACTACTAAGGGGAAGAGCATCTCACCTGGCAAGCTGAGCCACTTCCAGTCACACCATTGCTACCCATCCCCAGCAGTGGGAAAGTGTTACATCTTAGAGAACTTTATTTTCTTTCCATTCAGTATACAAGGAAGAACCATTCTCAAAACAAACTGCAGCTTAGTGGCAGTAAATCATTTTCTGCTGTCCTTTGAATGGGACAATAAATAAAGACAGTGCTCCCACACCATATTTACGAAGCATGAGAAATGGATTTATGCACAGAAAATTGCTAGATGGGGAAATAATTCTGCATAGCATTACACTCAGAACACGTGATGAAATCTCTCCCTTGGTGGGGTTTTTAAAAAAAGCTTTTTGTCTCACTAGCAAGAATTACTCTGGCTTGTTACTCACTTCCTCTCTTTTCCTTTGGAGTAGAAGGGGCACATCTATTTAGCGTTCATTTCCTTAACTTCAGAGTTACTCAGTGAAAGTTCAGTGTGCTGAAGAAGATGCAGGCGACTGCTGGCAAAGCAACAGTTGCTTTGGTGACCCCTTCCCAAAGGTCACGACCATGTCCCCAGTGTCCGAAAGGCTTGGTGTTCACATTTCTGTCAACGGACAGTGCGGAGGTCGAACTATCATTTGTAGACATTTTCATTTGCCTTCTTTCAGGGATCGGTGCTTTTACACTGCGTGGCAGCCCCCGCCCCGCACCATACTTTCTTGTTGGCCCTAACCTGAACCTGAAATGAGAGGGACCATCACCAGCCAGGGCTGCCTCTACTTTAAGGAGGCTCAGTTTGGTTTTGGCTTTTTAGTGAGAGAGTGCTGTGACCAAGCTTGGAACCCCTTGCTGCAAGAAGCAAGGCTGCTCATTCCCCCCACATCCCACTGTCTGGGAGCAGAAGTTAATTGCAGAGTACAAATGCCAAAGTGAAGAGCTCAAACCTCATTGCTGTTTAAATACCAGAGACAGATTTTTAAACAAGTAAGTGCAGAATAATGTTTTGACAGGAAAATGTCGCATAAATATTCAGATGCCCTTGTTCCTTTTCATCTTATTTTTTCTACCTGACACTCATGATGTTGCCTTCAGGATGTTTCTGCAAATATGCTTTCACTACCCAGGCTGTATGCTCCCGATAGGTCATCACACGGCTAGAAGAGAGAGAAGAAACTTTGTAAGATAAAGCTGAAGAAAGCTCCAAAATGACTGAATTACCAAGTTCTAAGGGAACCATTTGTTTGTTGTAGGCAACTTCTCAGCTCAGTGAAGCTCCAAGCCTTCAGCCGATCACTCAGGAATCCCATTTTGCAATGCATGCGTCAGCATTTACCTGCTATATGCTGTGCTCGGTCAATTAAAGCACAAGAAGCAATAGGTGAGGAGAAAACATGCACAATAAAAATCCCTAATTGCTCTAATTTGGTGGTGTCTTCAGACATGTTAAGATCTTCCCAGGCTAACATTCCTCTATTATGATTTTCATATTATCACATCACTAACTCTTTTAAAGAAAGACAGTGCAGTGTTGTGATGAAACCACTTAAACTTTAGAGGTAATTTGGAGTCATGCATTTTTTTCCTGGGGGAAAAAAATCATTTCCAGATTATACTTGCAAGCACTGCTGTCAACTAAAAGTAATATAGGGAGAAGGTGCTGGAACTCATTCCTAGTGCATTTAGGAGCACTGAAATGACCGCAGTGGGGTGTACAAGAGTGAGCATCACGCGCTGGCCACAGGAATGAGACGGATGTCTTACCATTCACTCAGAGCCATCCGCCTGTCATAAACGCGGATGGAGCCATCACCAAGCCCTGCTACAATAAGGGAGCGATGAGAGTCACAAGATAGGCTGGTAACGCAGCTGTCGGCTCCTGTGGGAATATCCTAGGATGGAAAAACATGGTAGCCAAAGTTGAACGGATGAGTTTTTCAGTACGCTACCCACTTAGTGTTACCCTTTTAGTCAGATTTAAACAATGAGCTTTGCACTTCTCCGTAGATAATATCTAATTTCTGAGTTCATCTGTGCTAATGACAGGTATGGAGAGGCCTCTTTGAATCACTCATAATTGTAGCGCCTGTTACAGGGGTGGCCCGACTTGCTCAGTGGAACAGCCATTCATGGTGAATGTCAGGTGGTCTGAAACCTGCAGGTGGCAGCCACAGGTGGGAGTGGTGGTGGGAGGTGAGCAGCAATTGGGTGCCTGTGGGCACCTGCAGCAGCAAGTGGCAAGCTGCAAAATAAACTCAGGGAGCTGCATACAGCTCCCAAGCCTTTGGCTGCCTCTGGCCTATTGTGTGCTGAGTTATTTGCTTTAGCAGCTCAGCAAGATGACCAGAAGATTTATAATTTACCACCATAAATCTTGGGGTATCGGGCATGATAGAAAGCAATACATGAAATCATAAAATATGCCCTATTCTTTCCACCTGCAAAGTTTGTTTTATTATGTATGTGTTACATTTTTATCCCACCTTTCTGCTAAAAGTAGCATTCAATATGTCTAACACTAAAATACACAGATAAAATAATTCTAATTTAAACATTAAAATTCAAGTTAAACACATCCAGTTAAAACACAACACTAAGAAATTATGCCATTCAGGAATGTCAGCTTCTATTGCTCTGGGTGGAGAGCTGCCTGCATTGCAGACCAGCCTCTTCCAAGTAAGCTCACCAAGCTCACTCAGTGTTTTCCCTGTGTTGACCACAAGAAGCTTACTTATTTGTTAGCAGTATACTTTTCAAGTTTGTCTGTGTTATGCTGACAGTCTATATTGGTATGATTTTAATGTTCTCATTTATATGCTTTTATGTTCTTTACATATTACTATTTCTATGTTTTTTGTTTTTTATGTGCGAAATGTTTAACTGGGAAAGCAGGTGACAAATGCCTATCATTACTGGAGGGACTGCAGGAGACGAAACGGGTCAAATAAATGCACTAGATGAGGTGCACTCATCTACAGAGGTGTCTACAGAAGCATATGGCATGATAAAAGTGTTAATCTTTAAGGTGCGGCAAGAGCTTTTCTTGCTTTTGTACCAGCAATGTCATTTCATCTCAGTTGCAGCTTAAGAAGAAATATTTCCGGGTACCCATTATGGGAACAAAATTGCAGTGCTGTTAAAGTTCAGTTCTTGGTAACATTTACACATAGCAAAAGCAAACAAAAAGAAAAATGGTCTTACGGCTTTTCTACAGGTTGCTTTGTTTCATATTATTTTAATGTTTGTTTGGGAAAAAGGTAATTTGGGCTATTTATATCAACATCCACATGAAATACATGAAAATGAGACCATATGTCTCATTTGTTATTGAGGTACACTTGTAAAACAGCCACAAGTGCTTTGACAGTTTTCTGATAAGAGTACTCAGGCAGTGACTCACATATCTGCTAACTAACCTCTGCATTGCAACATGTAAAGCAGCTTTTTGAAACCCTGATTAAAACACCTAGTTAATTAAGATGAACAACTAGGAGGAGCTCTCTTCTCCATAAAGTGTCTTTGTCCCTGAGTCCTCACCAGCCATAAATACTGCACAGAAGGGCAGGATGGATATATAAATGCTATTTAAAAACACACACAATATTTCCCTGGAGAGAAATAAATCTGCATCTGCTGAAAATGCAGTTGGCAGCTAACTGGCACATGCAGGCAACCCGAAATACATGAAAGTGGAAAGACAGAACTGCTGGTGGTTCTTAAATACTTATTAGAAAGAAGCCTGTAGGGCTTTGTCTGTTGACCATTAAACCAGACCATGCATGTCACAAAAGCAGCTTAAATGTATCTTAAGAGCAGCAAAAAGTAGAGGGAAGGAAATTGACATAAGATCTAGTGAGAACTTTTTTATGTGCTCAGCCAAACAGCCAAGGTGAGTTGCTAAAAATGGTAGAACTCCAAAGAGAACACAAATGCAGCTAGCCTTTCTACTTCACAACATTTGCAAGGCACTGCACAGATTATTGAAGGAGAACATAACCTGCCTTGAACTCTGAAGCCCTGCATTTCCTCTGTGGAGCAGAAAAGGACATTACCAGAAAGTGTTTCCTTTTTAAATGATGAAAGTTGTTTTACTTTGGCACACCATCTCTTCTCAAACCTTACTGCAGGTAGCTTTACAGCTCTTTATAACCTCTTTGGGGCAAGACATGCTCCCTCATGTTTTTATGGGAAGTAAATTAAGGCAGAAGGTAATTAGGAAAACTGTACAAGATGAAACTGTGCAAAGCCGCAGTGAAGGTCAGACTAAAACTTGGAGTCCTGAAAGGCAGCACAGATTCCTATACCAGTATGTGTCCATGCTCTGCAGAAATTTTTTAAAAATAGGAATCAAGGGCTGCATGATTTTAAAAATAAGAACAGCTCTGTAAAGTAAGAAATGCAAAGTGCAGGGCTGGTAAATTACTGGAAAGACACCAGCAACATTGTTCTAAGGTTATAGCTTTTCCTTCTTTATCTACTACATATAAAAATCTGCTTGGAATAATAAGAGCGCAGCTGTGAAAAAGAAAAACAGTTTCAATTAAGCAACCAAAAAACTGAGCAACATTTTCAAACTAGGATAATGATCAGAACCGGCTCTACAGAATTATGTTAGCTAATTTCACACCTCCTTCCTATTTTTGCTCTGAGCCCAGCCACCTTCTCTAGATATTTTGGGTATTGGCTTGATAAAAAGATTAGACTAACAGTTTGCTGAAGACAACTATCCAAGATTACCAGATTTTTATGCAGATGGAGCTATAGATGCATAGAAGCTTTAGCAGTGAAAAGAACCTTTTGCCTCTGAATCAACAGATGCCACTGCATCTTGTGGGTTGTGAAGGAACCATAATGCTGGCTACTATATACTTCAGTCCCCAGCATGCCACAGACAGAGAACTGGTCAAAAGCTATTTAAGGAACAAAGAGCTTCAGAGGATGTGCATAAGTGAGCAAAGCTCTGGATTGCAAGAGAAGCCATGTTGCCATGTGGGAGGGGAGTGTTTCTGCAATCCGTCTGCCCACACTCTCCCACACTCCTATGACATGTGCAGTTCCAGCTCCATACTATAACTGAATGCTGCTTTATGTGGGCAGCATTTCAGGTAAACTATCACCTTGCAGTGCAGCGGTGCTAGGGGAAAGCCGCTTCTATCATGTAGCCCCTTAAAGAAAATGGAGCATTTTTTGAAAAGACACTGCAAAGCAGTTTGTGTTGCAATGATTATATGTCTGTCACAGGTTTTTCCTGCAAGGAACCCAAGGCAGCTCACACAATCCTCTTCCTCTTCATTTTATCCTCAGAACAACCCTCTGAGGTAGTTTAGGTTGAGGGTCATTGACTGGCCCAAAATCACCCACTGAGCTTCATGGTTGTGTGGGGACTAGAATCCAGATCTCCTGAGTTCCAAGCCAACACACGAACTGCTACACCACATTAGCTCGCACTGGGTGTCTGGCAGTGAGACCCAAGCACTTTACCTTCTCTGTTTCTAGGTTTTACAGTGCGATTAAGTTTTGATTCCCTGAACCACAGAAAAAACCAATTTGCACTATTCAAGAAATAAAATATTTTTAAGATGTTCCCAGTATAATCATTAATCATTCTCATTTAAAATATTTTCACCCCGCTGATTTCTGATGTTCTCTAATTTGCACAGATAAAATAATATTTGAAAATAATTAAGATTAGCATAGGCTTCACAGTACTGCATCGCTGGGTCAAAGTGTCATAATTAATGTTCATCCAGAGGTAATTAATTTCTAAAAGCTTTGGAGACTAGACTTTGTTTCCCAGAGTGACTTAGACAGAGATGTTACCTCTCATTATGCGGCTGCAGAACAGGCTGGATTTAATAGCAAATGATGTGAACACATTGATGTTTTTCTAAGGTGGGTGTCAGGATAGCTTTGCTGAAGGAACAGGAAGAAGGCTAGAACAGCCAGGCTCAGCTACCATTTGCAATGCCTCTGCCATGATATGAAGGATGCTTCAGGTGGACGATGAAGGGGAGTGATGGCTTTGGGGGCTGCCAAAGGCAGACAGGCGCCCTGGGCAATTGTCAGAAGGACGGCTGGCTTCAGGGCCACTATGTAGACTTGCCAGCAGCTCAGTTCCTGCATTTGTACTGGCCAAGGAAGGCCTGGAAGTTGCTCTGTGAATCTGGTGCAAATCTGCTGCCTGTAGGTTCTTCCTGGTGTGCAGCAGCAATAAATGGCCCAACTGGCTTCCCGTTCCACTGTGAGATGTGGCGGTGATGGTGGGGAAGAGGCAGCCAGGAGGGAGGCAGTGGGGAAAGTATGACTTTGAGCCTGGAACAGTGGTGGGGAGCAACAGCCCAGAAGCAGGATGTCTGGACTAACTTTCTAGAATGGCTTCTTTGGCCAGCCTTCCTACCGAGGAGCTGAAACTCACTTGCTTGAACTAGCTTCCTCCCTCCCTGTCACTTGGCTGTTCATTTAAGGTCTCCTTGGACCAGATTCAGAGTCAGGCAGAAAAAAGAGAATTAGTGCTGTTCCAGTGGCAAATGAAAAAAGGAAGAACTGCACAGCCCAAGAAATGGCTACATGCAGGTCATGGCTGTGCATAAATAGGGAGCTGCTTCATAGAACGTTTTCTACACTGTTAACTCTTTGACTGCATAACGCATATGTATGGCAAGAGCTTTGGTCTGTGGCTTGGTTAACTTTCTTGAGTCACCTGCTCTGCGTGTGTTTCAGTACTCTTACAGGGATCCCTCAATTGTCCTTGAGACTAATCTCAGCTGTAATGTCAGAAGACCATACAAAAACAAAATTGGTACTTCCAATTCCCACTGTCCAGATAAGAAACTGAAAAAAACAATTTGCATATCTATTGCTGAAGCAAAGCAGGTTTGCTCTTGAGCACCACCTTGACGGGGGAGAACTTGACATCCATACAGAGGATGCTACATATACTGACTGGATTAGCACAACATGACAACCTATCCGGGATAACTAGCCATGATGAGTTTTGGTGTTATCCAAGCTCAGACTGCTTCCCACAGAGTTGCTTATTTTAGAAACAAGCCATCCAGACAACCCATGTCTTCCTCAAGGGTTTCCTGAACCCACAATGGGTTGATGGACCGTCTGAACCCAAGAAAGCAATTTCTTTGGTTTGCAGGAATCAGGTAGCAAGCAAGAGTGGCAACCCCCTCCCCCACCGCCATGCTTTGCAATCTTGGCCTTGCTGCCCGCCGTTAAGATCCCTTCACCAGTGCCCAAATGACACTTTAAAATGACTCTCGCAACGCCTTTAAAATTTGTAATGTTTTCAATTTTTGTCAGTCTTTTGCAAGCACACTCTTATAACTGTCTGGTATGTATAGCCTTGCCCAGGAGTTCCCAGCCGGGGGTGCCTGCATCCCCAGAGGTGCAAGATGGCATTTCAGGGGGTGCAACAAAGAGGAAGGCCGCATCGCAATTTGCCAAAATTGGTGAATCACAATGTTTTTTGCACCAAAGATTATCCCAATAATACAACTATTTATTATTTTGTTTGCATTTAGTTTCAATTCTCTTTTGTCAATCAAGACAAAATCTAGGTATCGCCTGAATCCACATGCAAACTTGTGGATTGCAATCAGCACAAAATTCCACATTTTGACAATCGTGAATGAGAAGCAGAAACAAAGAAGTTACTGAATGTTATGTTCACAACTGGGATTGATGCTATTGTTTACAACTAGGATTGATTTTAGTATTTACATTTTTTTCTATTTGCTCATTTTATTTATGAGCATTTTCTAATAGATCAGTTTCAATTGCTCATTTTATAGATGTACTGAGTTAAAAGCTGATTTTTTTAGTTCAACTTGATCACTCACAGTACTGAATGTGGTGCAATTTTGTGGTTCAAAATTTAGAGCTTTTGACTTCATCTTCCAATGAGATATTACTTTTGTAGGGGGTATGAACATAAATCAAACATTTTCTACAGGTGTGGGATACAGAAAATGTTGGGAACCACTGGTTTTGTCTGACCAATTTCCTTGTATGTTTCTCCTTTCAAGGGGAACAGCACAGTGGAGTAGGGGAAATTCATGGAAATCAGACAAGATGAGACTCCATATTGGCTAATCTGTGCTCAGTAGCCAGTATCCAGTTGCTGACTTGTATTGAGAAGCACTCATATAAAAGTGGGAAAAGGTGGTGTGTGTGGGTGTGGGCAATATATCCCACTTAGCCATGTAACCTTTTCTGTTTCAAGTGCTGAACTGCTACTTCTCAGTGCCCTCCATCATTTCAACACCTGAACCTCCAGCTAGTCCAGACAGGGGAGACGTTGGCTCTACCTACGTTTTCATGGCTGCTCTTCGGGCACTTTCTGTTGTAGTTCCTGCGGTTCCCTGAGAGGATGGCTGCCTGAGCTGGAGTCAGTGAGGTCCCATGGGAAGACGTGAGCCTATGTACCGCTGGTACTGGTGCCCCATTTGCTCTGCCCCATGCTGCCACTTGTAATATGGTGAGCCGCCCCGAGGCTTCGGCGAATGGGGCGGCATAAAAATGTTTTAATAAATAAATAATAAAAATATGGCATGTCGTGTGTGCAGCTTTCCCACAGGCAGCTGGTTGACCCCTTGGTCTGATCCAGCAGGGCTCATTAGGTTTGGATCTTCTTTTTTAACTGCTGGGAATATTCGGACAATTTTCTGGATGTGAAATGTACACACATGTGATGGCTGGGATTTAAATAGAGGGAAAATATGTGTCAATTTAACTGTGTCAGGCCAGTTAATGGAGGGGCGATTTGTGCACCTGCCTTAACAGCAGTTACTGAAAGTGCACAAATTTACTCTCCATTTATTCATAGCACTTAAATTGGATGAACTCCAGTCCAATTTCCTGGTTGCTCCCTTTGACAGCTGAAACATTCTAGGCAAAAACACACTTGTGAAAGACCAACCAGGACACCCTGTTCCCCTGCCACATAACCAAACTCATTCACAGAATTTTCTGGGGGAAAAAAGTTTTGAAAGTACAACCCCAATTTTGCATTTTTAAAGTTCTATTTTTAAAAAGTGGTGAATGAAAAGGGGAATGATCAGAGTAGGTTAGGGGAGACAAACTAGATTCTGTCATGAAACCAGGATACTGGCTGGAGGCCTGAGGGCGAAGGAGGGGAAGAAAGGGCCACAGTGACCCTGCCAGCTTGTCAGCAGGCAGCTGATTTACAGGGTAGCTTAGTGTGTTGTGTGAAAGTGGTCACTGTGTGCTGTGCACAGAACAGCTTTTCCACACACTGTTTTTTGTGCTGCCCTGCACTGAATTCTCATGAGCAGGCAGCTTTTTATGTGGTGAAATCAAAGACCTCAAAGCACAAGATGCTTCTCCAGTCACACATTGTTCATGGATCCCCGCATTCCTAAGCCAAGAAATACCATGGTTACCTGGACTTTCATTTCTCGATCTGTGTCCCAAATTCGGATAATCCTCACATCTCCAGAAGTCATGAGAAGGCCAGTCTCTTGCTCCCAGTCTACCACCATCCCTGCTCCTGAGGAAAGAAAAAGTGGTGGCGTACAAAATTATTCTCTAAAAATATGCAGAACTGAAAGGAATCAGAATGTCTACAGCATTCAGCTCCCAGCCTTGGATATGTATTTTGAGCACGCTGAATATTTTAATGCGAATCCATAAAATTCCATGGAAGAACATGTCTGTCTGTCTCTTTGTCTATCTGTATGTGCTTTGGCAGAAGAGAAAAGAAGAATGAAATATTATATAAGTCAGTGTCTTTCAGAGACGCCTCACTCCATTTGAACTGCATGCAGCTTAAGCAGTTTACCAGAACTGCATAGTAAATTATATATTCAACAAAACCTGCTGACCATTTAGATGGCATGGTACATACTAAACGAAGGGACTGGCATCCACAAGCAAGGCTCTGAACTGAGAAAGCTGGTAGTGAGAGATGATGTAGAGCAATGGTGCAGTGAAGGGAATCCCAGGGGGTGTGCAGCTGGGGGTGTGCAGCTCTGGGCATTTTGGAGCAGAGGCAAGGAGGTCTCCTACCAGAAAACCCAGGCAGCCGGTGGCCCCTCCTCATTCTGGCAAGTGAATGAGACAATGACACATCTTTCAAGACTTATTACTGCTTGCAGCTGATTAGCACAGAGCAGGGGTAGGCACAGGCCTACCCCAGAGGTGCACATTCGACATTTCAACAAAATCTCCCCAGCGCCAATATGCTAAGGGAAGGATTCACCAGCCACAAAACATGGGGAAAGCCCCCTCTCTGGATTCTGTCCTTTTTCTCCCCCAATTTTTACTGCTGCCCCCAGGCTGTTTTTTCTTGTCCCCGCTTTCTGGATTCTCTCTTTCTCTCTCCCTACCCCGCTCCATCTTTCTGCATCTCCAGCCCTTGCCTAGGATCCCCTTCTCTCATTCCTCTTCACCTCCAGCCCAGCACCATTCCAGCTGTTGCTCAGGCTCACAATAAAGTTCAGCACTGTGCTGAGGACTGCATTTAAATCAAAGTACCCTTGGAGGCACTGGACCAATTGACCTTTCTATTCAGAGGCATATATACAGACCAAAGGTGCAGCCTATCTCAGTAGCCCTCGAAAGGAACCTGGCTGTGGAGGAGGAAGGGGTTGAAGGCTCCTGGTCTGCCTCCTCATTAGGGTTGCTGAGGCAAGCCTGGAGGCAGGCAGCAAAAGCTGTGTGTGTCTGGGGGAGAATCCCACATGGGCAGGAAATGGAGGAAATCCTGAGCAGAGATAGTGGGGCCAGATCCTGCCAAGTTCTGACAGCAGCAGATCCGTGAATGTCTCACATTGCAACCGGACAGCAGAAGCCAGTTTGTGGCAGGTGTCAACATCCGCATGTGTGAGGAGCTGGGTGGTGTCTGCCAGGCCCACTTAGTGGTCCCACTGGACACCAGGGTGCCTGTGGGTGCTGCACTGCCAAGCCCTTGCACAAAGCTAAAGAACACGGAAAATACCCAAGCAGAGACCCAGTCCCGGTCCTTTTAACTTAGATGGGTCCTTTTTACTTCCTACTTCACATTAGGAGATTAAATGGTAATACTTCTTTGCAAGATTGCTTGCATATCTAATGAAAAGCTAAATCAGGATAAAGATCTTTTGTTAAAGCTCAGAGTGTTTCACAACTTGAACCTCTGTGGTGAAAAGTGAGCACTGCTGAGTTCACTGGAGCTTACTGCTACTTAATACAAAGGACTGCAGTCATGCCCTCTAAATTTAATTGTTAGTAGTTTATTTGCTTCTGATGTCTATATTTTACTGGAAAGTTAAATGAGATTGCTACCTCAATTGAGTATAAATAATGCAAAGTAAGGGGAACGTATCCCGGAGCATAGCTATGGACTTTTCTTGTGCATGTGCCTATGGGGGTTGTCACAATGTGCTTCTTGTGCTACACAATTCATCACTACTATTATTGGCGCAGAGAATACACTTAAAATAGGGAGGGCAACATCCACTCCAGCCTGCAGAGTGTGGTTCATCCAGTCCACACAGGGCTGTACTCCTTGGGGCTCCTTAGAGACTCCAGGGGGCTAGAGGAATCCCTCAAGGAATCCTTTCTTATTGCTGATCTGAGATGACAAAAGGATGGAGGAGTAGCAGCTTTGGGGAAAGCTGTTTCCAGTGAATATGTTGGGAGAATTATATTCCTGAAGCATCACCAGGAACCTGATGTTCCCTGTTTTTTAGCTTGTGGCAAAAAAGCTAGCTAAAGGGCAGGTTCTCTTTCACTGTAACGAAGTGCTAAATCCAAAGAAAATGTAGATTAGGGTGGAGAACCTGCAACACTCCACTCCAACTCTGAACCACCCCAGCCAGTACAGTCAATGGTCAGAAATGTTTGGAGTTTTTGCCTAGCAGTATCTGGAGGCCCTCAGGCTCTCCGTCCCTGGTCTAGACCAAGAGCCCTAAAGCAAAAGAGCATTTGATCAAGTTGCACTGCGTGGAATAACTGTGCAGGAGTCCCTAACTATATGGGGTATTGATTGCCAGAAAGAGGCTGGAGGAAATTATCCACCACTGAACAGGAGTACTACAAGGATTTCCTTATCCTTCAAGCATAGCATAGACCCTTGTCACAGCCAAGTTGGCTGACAAGATGAAGAGAAGAGTTTTCTCCTGTGCAGCAGGTTTAATTCTCCTCATATTGGAAGGATTAAATGTTCAGAGCCAACAATGCCCGGAGTGCCCAGTGCATCCTTGTTAACTACTGCAGACTTGGGGAAATGGCAGGTTTTGCAAAGCTTTGGAGCTGGGGGAGCCTCCAACAGTGGATTCCAGCTTGTTTAATTTGAATGATTGTCTCCACAGAAGTTACAAACTGCTTGCATGGCACACAAATCTTCTGCTTTGAGGGAAAAGTGATTTGGCAATTATCTCTTCCCTTCTTTTGTTCCCCAGGAGGTAAACAAACTATGCATCTCTAATATTGCCAAAGGGAAGTACATAAAGGTAGGCTTTTTTAAAAAGCAGAGATAAATAAATTGTTCCAGGCATGGACAAGCTAAAATGAATTTGTTGCAGTGGCACAACCTCTTCTGCTAATCAAACCAACAGAGGGTACCTTTTTCTCTTTTTCCTGTGCCCAGGCTCCCTTTACAAGAAAGTACGACTGTAATGACAAATGGAACAGGGGAAAACTCACAAAAAGCTCTTCGGTAACCCTACAAGACTGTAGAGTTGCCGATGAGCTTCCTTTTGCCAGCCTTCCCATCACTGCCTCCAGAGCCTTTAGGGACCAACGGAATAGGACCCTGTCTGTAACACAAAAGCTTCAGAAAAAACATACCATGCAAATCTAAAAGCTCAGCATTTGGTTCAGAAGATAAAATCAAGTAGCAACATTTGCTTTTCTAGCCATAAATACCCGAAATGATCCTGGAAGTGGAAATTACCACTACAGGTACAGTAGGGCGATATCTTAGCAGCAGGACCAGATCCATTGGAGATTGGTGGGGCACAGAACCAAAACTGATTCTCTTGAAACTTCATGCCTATCTGAAGTAAGCTGAAGATTTATGCAAAAGAAGCATCCTCATCTTCATTTCTCCACTTCCTTTTTTTTTTTTTTTTTTTAAATCCAGTGGCCAGGGCCACTTGTAATGTGCTATTTGGCTAGAACTGTCAGGGCATCCAAGCAGGTGCAGGACCTGAGGGCTGTTCTTTGACTGTTGGTTTGTTCCTGACAGCTTTTGCTACCACTTGAAGGAGCTAAGGAAAGGGGAAAAGGATGAGAATGGTAGATAAGCTGACAGCTCACATCTTTATCTGGACATCCAAATTGATTGTTTCTTCAGCTTCCCTGGCAGCTTTGAGGGGTGCTAGAGATTCAGAGCAAGCAAGAAGGCAGTAGTTTCAATGATAGGCACCTCCAGAAGCATTTTGCATTTGTCATCTTGTTTATGGTCTGTACGACAGGATGAACCCAGCAGGCTTAAGATGGATGATGCTTTATTATTTTAAACAGGCAGCACTCTTAGGATGTGATGCAAAACATGCCAATTTTTCAGTCATTCATACTCACAAGGAGCTTATACCATTTCAGCTGCAATATAATCTGCAGACCACACAGAGCATATGGGTACTTCTGCTTGCATGAGTACATGTTTAGGGCGCTTCATCTACTCTGTATCAGGAGTTTGCAGACAGACAGAGGAACTGACAAGGAGGAGGTGACATGGATGAGTAATCTCAGTGCCTGGGAGAAGCTAGTCTACTTACAAGCAACCAATTTAGTGTTTTTCCCAGTTGAAGGAAGGAAGCCTGGGGGTGCTCCTAGACCTTTGGTTTGCTCTTGGATAGACAGGGAGCAGCACCATTTATCCTGAAGCCTTTGCTCCTTTTGAAAGAGGTAGGGCCATGCTACGCTGAGCTATACTTCCATAACATCTATATCTGAATGCTGCAATGCCTCTATGTGGAGCTCAAAGAAAGCTAGAGCTGGTTCTGCTTTCATCTCATACAACAGTGTATGATATTTTAAATCAAGAGGACCCTTGGCTGTTAAGACTGGCTGGCTAGTTTTGAATGTTTTCTGCTTGCTTCATTTTTGCTGCTAGGAGTTTTGTTGTTTTCAATGTGATCACTGGATTGTGCTGCTATTATAATGTTTGTCTTTGTGAACAGTGTTGTCACCTGTGGAAATGTGACAGAAAAAGCGTTCCAATTGTTTTAATTATTAATTTTGCTAATTGATATTCAGAACTATATTCATCCTACGGAAGTTGCAGGGACTGCTGCCAGTTACCAGTGGAGATAAGAACAAAGCTCTCAAAGATTCACTGCCTCATGAATAGAATGCCGAACAGAGAATGAAGGATTTAAATTCCTCGCTGTCTTCTGAGTGACCCTTGGCAAGAATTGACTTGTGCCCAGTCCTCACTTCCTCCATCTGCAAAATGGGATTGATAAAGTAATTTTCTTTCTTTTGTGGGAAGGGGGAACCATAAAAGAATGTTATCCATACATGACTAAAAGGGAATTGCTCTCATGAAAGATTTATCAGTGT